GAAGTAGAAAAAATACTCTCAAACTGAGGCCAAAGGAAGTCATCCAGATTTGGGGACACTATTTAGAGAATAAGGCACTCCTCTAAAGTTCAAATCCTCCTTTTAGAGCCTGGGGTGTTACTTAAAAACTGTATGTGAGAAAGTCTCTTCAACTTACAACTGGAGTTGCTTTGGTTTTGATCTTGTAATTAGAAACCTGACAAGATACCTTGCCAAAAGACATGTTTCATTTTTAAGTTCATGTAATATCGTGATTAGGTTGATGCCAAGCTCATCAGGTTGGGACAGAGCTGAGAGGGGCCCTGTAGCAGGAGCTCCCAGGGACTCTGCTCTGGGGGGGATGCCAGGACCTGGGGACTGGCGAGTGGCTCCACTCAAGCTACACACACTGCTGGGAATGGGCATTGCTAGCTGCTGCCTTTCAGAAAGAACCCCTTTGCTAGTCACACTCTGGAGCCTTTTTCACTTGGAGGGTGGAGGAAGGACGCCTTGCAGCTCTCAACAAACCCTTACATGCCAGCTTGTCACAGGATTTGCAAACTTGTGTCTTTAGTTTAAAATATTTATGCTGTTCTTAGATAGGTGGACAAGAATGACTGAACTTTCAGGAGGCTTTCTTCTTTTTCTTTCTGAGGTGCTCCAGCTAAGTTAGAAATAATTAACTGGAAAGCAAACCTGTCTCTATTGCAAAGCAAACGAAAAAGGATTGCATAGAATTAAGTTTCTTTACCTGAATCAGGATATTGTTAGACACTAAGCAGCACAGAGCAAATATCCATTGACCTGTTCAAGTGACAGCTGAGATTCTGGACATAAAGAGAGGAGCCTCATGCAAACAAACAACCAGATCATGAATTTATGGTGATAAAAACATGGTACAAACATTTCATAAAATCAAAGCACACTGAAAATGAGCCTAGCAAAGCTTAGCTATCAAGCTGGAGTACAAAGAGGTTAGGAAAAATACAAACAGAATGTAAGCAAGCTCCTCTGAGTTTGAAGGTGTAGTTCAAGTGTTTACCAGTGATAATTTAAAATAGTTTTGCTGTCTAATCTGAACAGTTTCAGTGCTGGCAATATTTCAGTTCTGGGGAAAAAATTCAAAAACAGCTGGATTCTTTTTTTTCTATGCGTAATTTATGGCCAATTGTTAGTTTCACAATTATAAATATATAAAGCAAAATAAACACTAAAAACGGCAAGTTTTTATTCTCTGCTAGGGGGAAGAGTGTTCTTTCAACCTATCAACATCTCAAATTAACTTAGGAATAGGATATAAATTCAGAATATTTATGAAAAACAGTTATGGAACAGAAAGCAGGAGACAACAATTCCTTTGATGTATCACAATGACATTAATCCTTCTACAGCAAATGACTGAGGCAAATAAAATTATTTCATCTGGCATGTGTCAAGGCCCCAGAGCGATAGTTAGTAAATGTTCTATTATTGACCTGCTGGTTTCTGATTACTTTTGAGAACAGACATGTTTTGTGCTTCATTTAGTCAGCTGCCAGTTTATCCATAAAGTAAATTATCTGAAAGGAATGTTTTTTGTAATTGTTATTTTTATAATGAGATCACTTGAGAAGGAAAAAAAGTTGTTTCAGATAAACATTGCAAGGAATCTGTAGAGTTTTTTTCCTGTCTTCTCTTTATCTGATTACCCGTGCTTGAGATTTGGATGTAGCCCATCAGTCTTCAGTGCACAAACTTCTCTCCAGCTTGAGAATACAAAGAGCCTGCATCAAAAATACAACAGAATCTGGTTAAAGAATTAGAGCCTAATTAAAATTTCTACCAAAAATCTTCCCCTCTCACCCCTCAGTTTAGAAGACAAGCTAACTGGTGACTTCACTCTAGTAAATCGCATGCTTGATTACTTTAGAGATTCTAGCAACAGGAAAGACTTCTTACAAATATTGTAAAAATATAATTTTAGAAAGCTGTAAACTTGTGTTCTTATTTAATAGCTTAATCTCGTTGAAACAATAAAGCCAAGTGCTTAGGAGAATTCCCTTTTTCCACCACTGGTGTGCTGCAAAGCAACCCAAACCCCTCTGACTGCTGGGCCTGCCATTGTCACTGGTGCACACTGCTCCTCTCCCATCCCTCCTCAGTGAACAGCTTACTGATCCCGTGGATCAAAGGAGGAGATCCTAGGGAAGGCAAAACTAGAGATACGTCCTGAGCTTCACAGTGGTTGGGAGAAACTTGTTA